GTTGGACCAGGTGACCTCCAGAGCCCCTTCCCACCTGAATTACCCTGGGCTGCTGTTGCTGACTGTGGAATTCCCATTGCTTGGCTCAGCTGCCTGGAATAAGAGGTAAAAGACAGATTCTCCTGCAAGGTGATTCCAAGCATGAGCCTATTTAGTTTTAAGATAAAGGCAAGCAGGAGCAACTTTTATACAGCCAAAGGCACTCATCCTGGTCAAGGCCTCCAAATCCATATTCTCCAAAAGGGTTAAATAATCCCTGTTGTACACTGAGATTTAAAGCCCAGTGCAGATTAAGTTTTTTCTACCTAAACAGAGATTATTCTATATAAAAATACGGTGTGGTGCTGTGGTGTGTAGCAGGGACTAGAATAAAACTCAGAAAGCTGGCAGGAAGCAGATTTTAGTGAAGCTGTGTTCCTGAAATGCAAATTGCAGAAATAATCAGAATAACTTAATGCAAATTATATTTGTGCAGATGATCCAGCTTTGGGAGAAAGGAGAGTTTGGGTAGTGCATAGCACAGAACAGCAAACACCAAAAAATAGCATTGAGGAAATCGAGTTTGTAAACGTTATTTTAAGACAGAACTTATACCTACATCTTTAGAACAGTTAATTATTCACTGAGGAGAGATGTGAGAGAAGAAATGGGGAAGCTCTGCACCCAAACAGCAGAGATCCTCAGCTGGCGTGTGTGGGAGATCTGCGTTCCAGCCTCTTTCCCTGGAGTTTTATATGGATTAGTGCATTTTTCAGAGGTGAAATGTTTTATAGTGTGCCTTTGTTCACTTTCAGCAGTGGCTCCAAGGTTAAGTGATGTGTGGTGGGGACAGAGTGCAAATTCATGATAGAACCAGGGAAAGCTCACATATTCCTAAACCTTTGTGATGGTGAGCTCCAGCCTGCATAATTTTTATTTTAAATTACATTAGCTTCCTTTCTTTTTCCTTTTTTTTTAAAATTTTGCCATTATTGTTGTTGTTTATTGCATACATTCCAAATATTTAATATGAGTGATCTGTTTAATATGCAGGTTATGAATTTCTGCATTTTTTGCAGGCTTGTAATAAATAATCACATAGGGGGAAAAAGCCCTTCAGCCACTCAGTCCATTGGCCTGGGCTGTGTAAAAACCTTGTTCTTTGGATTTGAATAAGTAGTTTATGATCAATAATTCAGTCAAGAAGTTTTGCCTTCTCCAGGTTTTAATTCTGCCATACAGATGTCTCTGGCACTTTGAATATGATCAGCACTCTTTGCTTGAGCAATAATTTAGGGTTTTTCTTTAATCATTGTGTGTGGTGTCAGTTGTGTTTCCATAGGCACTTCTCCAGTAAATTGTAATCAAATAACCATTTATTTGGAAACCTGAGGCAATGCAGTTCTGACTGGGTTAGAAATGCTTTTTGAAGTATCATATCTGTCGTGTTGCTTACGACAATATATATGGAATATTTTAGTCTCTTTCCGTCATTTCTGTGGTATTTACAAGAATTTCCATTTGGCTTAAAAAGAGTTGCAAAAATCTGGCACCATTTCATTTCAGAAACTCATCCCTGGTGTTTTTGGATCTCTCAGTAAGTGGGACCTAAGCATATGTACTTAGAAATCCACAGTTAAAATCCTTTTATGATTGTGAGTAATTTGTCTCTATTTCATTTTACACTCAGATATGCTCCCATGTTTATATCTGGAACTGCTCTTCTTGAAATATTTAATTTTAGGGGCACAGTGGATACAATTTTTCTCCAATTTGAAATCTTTGTGGATTTCTACTATTTTTCATCTTTTTGATAAGAGTAATGTACCTGTGTGTTTTCTAGAGGGACAAATGTGTGTAGAGTGCATCAGGAAAAGGGAAAATTAAAATAAACGGAGGTTTGGGGTGGTTTTGGGTTTCCTGTGCATAAATATCATATTTTGCATGCACCTCGATTGTATTGGTTTATTCACTTTGCCAAACGGCCCACAAAACTGTGAATATTTATTTAGTGGTATTCCTAATCGTTTTTCTAATAGGGAATTATTTGGTTACAAAGAAAGACATTTGTAAATGAAGCAGATAAGCCCTTTGGCAGACAAGGAGTGTTTTGTCCAACACAAGAATTCTATTGTCCACTGCTTTAGTTGTCAAGTGCCTGGGGAGCCCAGGATTTATGATGATGTTACAATGGCCCTTTCAGAGGGGACTCTAAGAAGCTGTGAGATTCCGTTCCTCTGCTTTTCAGACTCCCAAATCTTTTTATCGTGCGAGGACAATGCCGGATTCAGCTGCTGCTTCGGCCCGTTTCACATCAGGCATTGTGCAATAATTACCATAGTGACAATGGGCAGGGGGCTCCTTCCCCTCTCCCCAGCCCAGCAGCCAAACTGCTCCACTTGTCACTTCACATAAACCAACTCTGAAGCCACGACTTCTTTTGCCCCAAAAAGTCTTGTTAGGCCGTGTGCCTTAAAGAGCCGCCCTGGCAAATCTGTTTGGAACATTGGAACTGTTTAATGGATTTATTTTTTTTTTTAAGTTTTATTGTAATTGGACTTTGAAACAGCCTTCTGTAAATACAGCTGTTGGAAGGGTTTGGCTTTTCACCCTTTTGTAAGCATTATAAAGTTATTGGAATTACTGAAGGCATATTCAGCTGCAGAGAGAAGAGGAAAATAAAAATGTTATACAGTAAATAATAGGTGTCTGATAAATGAAATGGTAATAGGAAGTAAATAGGTATCTGGTACCTAAATATCAATTACTCAGCTAAACTGTTCTGTCTACAGTCACAAGGATGAAAATAGTCTTAAATGATGCTTTTAATGAAAAATGACATCTGGAGGATCTTCTCCTTGCTTGATGATAATATGAAGATTTATTTACTTCTAGTAATGGTTAATGCTACAAAAAAAAAATCTGTTTGTAACCCCTGATATTTGTTGCAATGCAGTGTAACTGAAGAATAGAGGCTGTAATTGGCAGTGATTATTTATTATAATTTATTATCCATTATTCTTTAAGATGCTTCCAGCCCAGCCCACTCTGGTTCCATGGTTGGTCCTTTTGCAGGTGGCCAGGTGGATGCACAGGAAGAAGTTAATGGAGCTGCAGGTCAGGTGGGGACTAGCAGTGTCTGTTATCAAATCAAAGGCTTCTAAAAGCAAAACAAGAGCTTAAAAATTGGATGGTAGGGATATTTAAGAGGATATTTTGAGAAGTCCTTATCCAAGGAAATTCAAATGTCTTGGGCATAAAGGAATCTTGAGCGGCAAAATCATCAATAAAGATGTTGTTTTCTGTAAAGATATTGAACAAATTATCAAAATGAGGGAGTTTATTCAGTTTCAGTCATTCATATGAATTGTGAATTAGTTCAAAAGGGTCCTTTATGAAAAAAAATTACTTACAAAATGAATATATTTCAAAGTGCCAAAGGTACTTATTTATAGCATGAATGTGTGGAGTACTTTAACAAACCAAGTATTTTATATTAGTGGCTCAGTCATCACACAAATCATCACAGAGCTTAATCTTATCAAAATCCACTGTCTAGGAATGTGCTTTTATGGCACATGTATTCCAAATTTTTAAAAGAGACTCAACATATTTGCAGTCGTCAGAGGCCACAGAAGCCATGTGACTTTATTTCTTCCTTTGATGGAGCAAGAGTGAAATATGTTTGTGCAATGTGAATATAAAATAGTCAGTCAATGCCTGTTTCCTTTTCAACACTTGTGCTAGGAGCTCTGAAATTTTGTGCTGCTGAACTGGGTTTTTTGCAATTAAAACTTGATTAGTTTAGTGGGGTTGAAAAGTGGATATAAGGTGAAGGATTGATACAGATCCTATCTTTAACAGTTAAACACTACAGAAAATTGCCGATTTGCATCTATCAGCCCAAATTAGAGAGGGTTTTTTTTAATAATTAGGTCTAGAAATTTTCTGTTGATAAATTTGGAGGTACTGGGGAATCTAGCCTTATTTCCTTGGGTGGAATGAATTTTAGTCCTAGAATTCAGTTAGGGCTCTTTAAGTGTCTGTCAGGGTCCCAAATGAACCTCAGGAATGCAGTGTCTTCACCAATAGGTAACAACAGATCACACTGAGTATTTCCTTTGCATTCAGCCACATTAATTACATTTTATCTATATTTTAACTTGTGTAGGGGCATTATCAGAAGCACCTGCGATGACGAGCTGTGAGGATGACTGCTCTGTGAAATTGTGACCATCCTTAACTTACCAATTTAAATTCAAGACTTGTCATGAGAAATGATTCAGCAGGTTTCTTTTTGTTTCTGCTCCCTTTGTCCAGACTGACTCAACTTCCTGCCCCATATATGAAAGAATTGTAACCACTGAAACAGCTGTAGGTGAACTTCTTACAGGCAGAGGCACCTCTTACTTGGTTTTGTTCTTTTTGCTTCAGATGTTTTATCTTATGTATTTTTTCACTACTGTAGTGGCAGTTCAGCTTCCTAAAATAATGTTCTCCCTTTTCCATAATCATGATAAACCCACTAATTTTCTAATATGCCTTTAGAGCACTTAGAAATGTTCAAAGCACATCTTGCTGGTTAATGGGATCTGCAGCTGTTCCTTTTTTCACTACAGTGTGTCTTGTCTTGGATAATGTTGCCAGAACAGATTTTTTTCCATAGATAACACAAAAGAGATGTGAAAGAATTTTGATACAGCCTCAAGCATTTTAGTTATGGGAACACTGTAGCAAAAGTGAGTCTGTTAAATGTTCCAGGTTGGATGGGGCTGGGATGGTGGGAGGTGTCCTCCCTGTCCATGGAAGAGGTGGCACTGGGTTATCTTCAAGGTCCTCTCCAAATCTGGCCTTCTGTGATTCTAGGTAAAGGCTATTTATTAATTATAAGTAGTATTTAATTACTTATCTCTAAACTCTCTTTGGGCTGCTCTGGTAGTTCACAGGCAGATTTTGGTTTCCTTTTATTATGGTCCCACGACTGGTTTGGATTTCAAATGGCCTTTTTTCCTTCTTTGCAGCCAGAGCTGAAGTAGTGGCTGAGTGGCAGTAGAGGGCTGACAGGTGTGGCAGCTCCTGAAGTGGCATTTCAGATGTGTGGAATATGCTACATCAACTGGCAGCAGGTTTCCAGTGGGTGAAGGTAAGTCCTGCATCCAACCCCGTGATCTCCTGAGGGATGTCAGGGATCCATGGCTGGGACCTTGTTTCTGTAGTGTCCACAGTGTTTGTGCAATACAGGGAACATTTCTGCAGGCACTGATCCCTCAGAGAGTTTAACCAGAGCTCCTGAGAGCTCTCAGCTGTAGGACACAGACCATCCTTCTACCTCTGTACTGCACAGTTTGATAAGGGACAAGTTTTGAATCCCTGTTGTTGAATTTCTTGTTTAAAACATCAGAATATCACTTGAAAATTCACAGCAGTGGAGCACTGAAGAACAGGAATGTAAGAATTTTTCTGATGTTTAGGTTTACAGCTGGAAGTGATCAGTCAAACAGGCTTATACTTTCCTTATTCTAGTGAGTGAGTAATTAATTCCATGTTTGGACTCTTTCTCTGATATTTTGTGCAATACCATTGAGCTCAATATAATTACTCAGACTTGGGTTGGGAAAGTATCTTCCTGGTGACCCTCAGGCTTCAGAGAAGGTGGAAAGTGTCAAAGTAGAGAGTGTGGGAAACTCTAGACCTAAAAATAGTTGGATCTGCTGCTCTTATGCCTTTAATTTTTCAACTCCTCTGAGATTCTCAGTTGTGCTGTTGCTGTGATTCCACAGAGGTGAGAATTGCTCACTTATGTGTCTATTGTTTGTTTTTAGGTTTAATACAGAAACAGATTAGGTGTAATAGATAATAAATATATAAATGCTGTCATTTTTACAGAATCAAAGGCAGAAGCCCACCTAATTTGTGTGGGATAAAAAGTATAATGCCAGGATATTAAAGCTCTTTGTCTTGCTGACTCATTCACAGCTTCTACATTCAGTTCACTCAGGTCTTGCTTGACAGATGCTTCATTTCTGTGAAAATGCCCTTGAATGACAATTACCTTATTTCTGGCAGCCAAATGGACCAACACTTCAACATCCTTGTGAGCAGCTCTATGGGCTGTGTGTGTGGTGTCCTCAGAGCTGGGGACAGGACTGCAGCAGCCAGGCTGGGTGACACCAGCAGAGCTGGGTTCGATTAACTCCTGAGCAAGGGCAGAGCTCAGCATGGCAGATTCTTGTCCTGAACACAAAAGCCACATTTTGCAAACAGTGCTTAGCTTTTGTGCAGATTCAGTTTCTCAACTGAACTATTCTAAAGAGGGTGTCGTTTGAAGCTTTCCTGACTAGGTTTCAAATTCATTCTTGGATATCAAGAAGACATAAAGAAAATATATGAAATTAGTTCTGTATGTCTCTGTTCCATGCACAGTTACATGAATTCACCTCTTTAGACATTTTCTAATACCTCAATTCATGATTTAGTTCAAGCCCCTTTCAACTCTGCTTGTTCTTGATTCAGAGTCACTTCCAAACAGACTTAATTTTTAGAAATTAAAGGACTGTGAGAAATAAGCTTAAAGGAAAACATCCCATCACTCTCACTATTATGTGAGATAAATGAATTTTAACTGGGTCCCTACCCCAGTTTTATCTGACAGTGTTGTGTCTTTTTCATAGACTTCTTTGCATTTCAGAGTTAAAGCAGATAATTTGTGAAAGCTTCCTGCAGAGAGGCTGTGGGATGTTCTCTCTGCTTGGAGTGTGAAGTGTCTCCCTTCAAAAGAGGAAGAACAAGAGCTGCTTTTGTTGATTATCATGTAAACCTGGGATTCCATATGCTTCCTAAATTCTCTTCCCTTCTTTTGAAGAATCTTTCTTAAATTACTTCCAGCTGTGCCTATTCAGGAATGCAAATTTGCTGTTACAGTATCTGGATAATGACAGGAGCTGAGAAGGTAAAATATTCATGTTTAACTATTGTTGATGGAAGAAGGAGCAGTGGGGCAGACAGCAAGGCCTGCTGAGCTGCTGGGGGCTGTGACACAGCCTTAGCTCACTCACTACAGAAGGTGACCAGGAGCTTCAGGAACTGGGAATATCCTGACTGGACATTTCCTTCCTGTGCTACTTGGACTTTCTAGACTGAATTTCAAGAGAGACTGAGGATAAGCATAATAGATATGCTATTAGCATTCCACATGAATAAAGGGTCCATAGGACCCAAAAAAAGAGTACTCTCATAGAATCATAAAATCAGATAATCCTAGAATGGTTTGGGTTGAGAGGGACCTTAAAGCCCATCCAGCCCCACCCCTGCCATGGCAGGGACACCTCCCACTGTCCCAGGCTGCTCCAGTCCCAATGTCCAACCTGGCCTTGGGCACTGCCAGGGATCCAGGGGCAGCCCCAGCTGCTCTGGGCACCCTGTGCCAGGGCCTGCCCACCCTGCCAGGGAACAATTCCTGACCAATATCCCATCTAAATTTCCCCTCTGGCACTGGGAAGCGGAAGCCCTTGCCCCTTGTCCTGGCACTACAGCTCCTGATGCAGAGCCCCTCTCCAGGTTCTCTGCAGCCCCCTCAGACCCTGGAAGGTTGTAATGAGTTCATCACACAGGATGAGAAACTGAAGTTCACTTCCTGAATATAGAAATTAGTGCTGTATAATGCATAATTTGACTCTTTCATATATAACATTTAATTCTTATGTAGAAAGACCATAATGGGAAAAGCAGGCTGTTCCTGATGTACAGAGCAGATCTTGGAAGGAAATTCCTCTGTAGCTTTTTTTTTGCACAGATGCCACTGTGAGGAAAGAAAATTAATTTTCACTTGGAATTCTCCTGTTCTGCATGTTGAACCCAGCCTACATGTCAGAGCAGTGTTCCCCCTCCAGCTGCCTGTTTTATCCTGTCTCACACCTCTCACTTTGCTTCTCAACAAATATCCGCTTCTGCAGGTTTTTAAAACCTGAATCTTGAATTCTCAGTGTCAACCCACAGAACAGACACTCAGTGTACCTGCAGGATTAGCTCATTACATGTATTTTAGGATGGATATTAGTAATCTAAATTAAACAGGCTCACATGGGAGGGCAAAAGCTTTGATTTTTGTAGGATGACGCTCCAAAGTACAGGGAATCCCTAGGTGGCTCTTAAAGAAAGGCATGAGAGTGAACTGTTAAGAAGAGTGTCATTTCACATAATCTGTGCAATGAGATGGAGTCTGAATTTATTACTTCTGCTTTTTGGTTTTCTTCAAGACCTTGGTTGACCTGAAAAAGCTTTGGAAACGTTGTTAGGATAATTATAAGACAAATTCTGGTCAAACAGATACCAAAGAAGAATGATTATTTTGTTAGAAATTGCAGAGGCTTCTAGACATCAAGTGGGGAAATGCATTGACACTGTCCTGTCTCTGATGGTCTCAGTACCTCCTAAGATGGAAATTTCTGGTTATTATCTGCTTTTTGAAATAGAAAATTACTTACATGCTACCTTGAAAGAATCTTGAATGTAGAAGAACGTTGAAATGAGTGATTTGTTTTTGGAAGCAATGAACTCGTACCTGAGCTGAAATTTAGCTTTTCGTGGCAAAATGTTTGTCCCAGGCGGAATCCTGAAACAACTAAGTCATCCCTGCATTTTCCCAGATTTCTGGGGAATCGCAGCCCTGTCTGGGCTGCAGGGTGGAGCTCTGGAGCAAGATCTGGAGCACCCTGGCTGGGCTAAGGAATGGGATCCTCCTGAAATCCTCCACCAGGATGAGATTCCCTAAGGAATCTGCACTGCACAGCCAGCAGAGAAGAAAGGACATTAAAAATTTGATCCATTGACTGAAAAGCTCCCCAAAACTCCAGTCACATCTTGGTCAAAATAAGCTCCAATACTTGGAAATTGTGCTCTGATAAAATGAACTTCTGACAAAAGTTCCACGGTTACTTCAAAGGTAAAAAGTGGGAATTAAAAGCTAAATCAGAGTCTTTCTGAAACAATTTTAATGGGAATTTATGGAGAAAACTGTTGTCAGCTTTAACGGTAAATATATAAATATACAGTGTGTATATATCCACACACATATATACCTATCTACATATATATGTATATATATATAGTTGCTTACTTTGTGTTTTAATAATGATGATGACGGCAAGGAGGAGAACAATAGCATATTTAAAATTTATACTATAGTGTCTCCAAGAAAAAGTACACACAGCCAGGGATAGAAAAATAAACCCAAGAGAAAACTAAATAGTGTGCCTTTCACATATTTATTACATATGAAAAGATGGCTGGGCACCCAGCCTTTCAAGGTTTCATATGCAATAAAAGTTATTTGAATTCTACTCAGATGTTAGTTTGCTGTCTCAAAAAATGGATGTATTCAGTATGCCATAAAATAAATCAAAATCTAGTGTATTTAATTCTTTTGAGGTGTTTAACCCAGGCAGTTACTACATTGTTAGTCACAGTTGAAGAAAAACTTCTTAAAAATGTGTCTTGCAGGAACACTTGCTGATATAATCATGTAGCAAGTACAATTTATGTGGCTTTCCTCATCTGTATAAATACTAATAAAGACACACAAGTGGTGATTGGTAAAATCTAATGTAATGCAAAGATTTTTCCCTCTCCATTCCTGACAACCTGCATTTGCAACCACTCAGTTACTTTTATTTTTTAAATGGCTTTTCAATTACATTCTGCTGCTGTAGGGGAAAGCTTTTTGACAAAGGCATGACATAAACCATTTCTATTGCAGCTCCATCATAGTTCCCACAGCTAAACTAGACTGGACAGTTCATTAAAAAGAAAAATTAATAGTACAAGGTTGTAGGGAAACAATAACAGATTATGACTGGCCTGTGGCAGCCCACTGAATTCATGTAGTGGAACAAAAGTGATTCCCTTGTCTCATAAATGAAGGTTTGTTCCAAGGTTTTAGGTGAAGTCTCTCCTTCTGTTCCTTTACAGGAAAAAGCTGTCCAGTTTGTGGTCTATAAAAGCAATACTTGTAATTACTGCAGGAGAGTTATGTGGATTTTTTGGGATCAAAAGCACCCATTTGATAATCACTGAATACATAATAATAAACATAACATCAAAGAGAATGGCATAGAACACAACAACTAAACAGATACATTAAAGCAAAAAAACAATATCCTCTCAGGGCTGCTCGGGGCAGGAGGGACAAAATGAGAATGCAGTCAGGACTCGATCCTATATTTTCTTTTCTGAGATAGTAACTGCTCTAGACCAGGCTAAATTTGCTAAATTCAGTGTACCAAAGTGTTTGTAGTTCCATGGCAGTTCTTTCAGGTCTGCTGAAAGATGCTACCTGTGTAGCATCATGTGTGATATATCTCTTGCTTGAGGCTGTTCCTAAAGGTGTAACCAAGTCCTAATGCCTCCCTCCAGATTGGAGTGCGTATTTTCCCCAATTTCCTCGGGGTTCTGTGGCTCAGATTTTCTGTGTATTTCTGGTATGTGTGGCAAGCAGACAGACACAGACTTTAATGCTGTAATCTGAGTTTCATTATACTGATGCTATAAATTCCTGTCTCAGAAGATATTTCAAAGAATATGGGTTCTGGGATGCATTACCCGCTTCTTTTGGCCAGTAGCCACAGCCTTCTAATGAATTCAATGGGATAATGGGAGAGGCCAGGAAAGGGGAAGTCTGAACCAACACAACATTTGGAATCAAAAGCAGGACTGACCCTGAAGGGTATTTTCTGGTTCTGTTCATAAACACAATCTTTTAGAAATAGCAGCCTAAAATACTGAATATTCATGGTCATGGCATCTGACCCTCTGTCTTTTTGCAGCTTTATCCCTACTTTTACAGGAGAACTTGGCCATTTCGCTTCCAATTCTCCCTTCTCTTCCCCCAAGATAGAAAAGCAGATTACATAACCTGCACAGCCTGGCTACTGTGAGAGGCCTTCTGGCTCGGGTTCATGCCATCAGCTGTATTTTGTGAACCAGGGCTGCATTGAAGCAAAAATAACCAACCAACCCAAAGGCTCTGCCTTGACCTCCTGAGCTGCTCTCATGCTTTCTTACTGCAGGCAACATGTGTGAGTTGCAGGACACTGGGGAGAAGATATTCCATATTTATTCCAGGGAATGTGCTCACACAAACATTTAGCACTCACTAATGAGGTGCTCATCCCAAGGCTGGGAGCCAGCTGCAGCTTTCACTGCTCTGCTGCTCTGTTCATGAGCTCAAAGGTGCCACCTGTGTCTCCTGTCCCCTCTGCCATGTGTGAGACCCAGGACAGAACAGCTCCATTGCAGGAACAGGCTTACCCCAAGGACAGCTCAACAAAGACTGTGCTGTGCTGTCTCCCAGTAAAGCCACTGACCCACTGCTTGTCACCCCTGCGCTGCTCCCAGCATCAGCAAAATGACACCAAAGTTGTGTACTCAACAAATGGAATGACCACTTTTCTCCTTGTAAGTCTGTAGTCATTTGATTTGCTTTATATTTAACAAACACAGAAATAATTAACTGTTTAAGTGGGAAAACTTGCCAACTAAGAATAGAATGGTAATGACTTTTTAATAACTGCCAAAACTCCTAAGCAGGGGCTGGTGCTTTGTTGGGTCAGGGTTATCCAGGTTGCCTCTGCTCCCCCCGTGCTGCTGTTCCATCTGTTTCCTCTGCACAGCTCACACAAGGCTGACACACTTCCCTTTGTCCTGCCGAGTGCTTCGCCCATGAGCAGTTAAGGAGTTACATCCAGGTTCCTTGGAGTCTCCACCAGTTCAATCTGCTGCAGCTTGTTGAGCTCATCTAACTTAAAAGAACAGAAATTAAAAGCCAACAGTGTTCTGCTGGCCTAAATTCTAAAGAGTGTAACCAGAGTTAGATTTATTATTACTTGAATTATCAGTTCAGTCACACTGAGCTCTTGTTCAAGCTATGTACAGTTAAAAGTGATAGGGAGGAGCTTCCCAGTCCCTGCCTTTTCCTCGTGAGAAGAAACCATGAGCTGCCTCAGGCAGAGATCTTGAGGCGGGATGGGAGCAGGACTTTATCCCAGAGAATGCCGGGATGGATCTTTCTCCCTGCACCCAGAACCATTACTGTGTTTCTAACACCTTATTTTTCCAGAGCCACTGTTACATTTGCAGCTATGAGGCTGCACTTTTGCCTCAGCTCTGCAGGGCACATGCCAGCCTGTGTTGCTGTGAAAGGTGATTTTCTGGGTGTTGAACAGCACCCTTTGCTCCCTGTGTTATCTCTGAGCTTTGTGCAGCTCCCAGACTGCAGTGGTTCCACAGCTGAAGCACTGCTGGGAGCAGTTTCCAGCCCCACCACCCTCCTGTCCCTGATTTCCACATCTCCTCTCTCCTCCTGTGCTGTCTTCTGGCTGCACAGGTAGTTCACTGTGTATGGACTAATGCATTGTTATTTTTACCCCTTCAATTCAAACATAAACATAATCCCCCTTTGTGTTACAACACAGAGTCAGCCTGAGCTAAGCAAAAAGCCTAAGCAAATCAGGCCAGGCTCCTTGGTCCTTAGGAAACTTGTTACAGCCAAATAAATTAACCAAACCCAAGGTCTGGGCAGGCCAAAAGTGGTGCTGATGCTGCTTAAGAATCTGGCTGGGTCCTGCTGCCTGTGCAGGCAGCTCACTCCAGCTTGGGCATGTCACAAGCAATGGTGACACCATCCTAAGGGCTTACAAGGTGCTGAAATTTTAACAAGTTCACGTTATCATGTGGAAAATTATTTTTTACACTATTTATTTAAGCCCCATTATTAAATAAGCATTTAGTAGGGTTTAGTTAAAGCTGTGTTTACAAACATAAAACAAGTGCCCATGCTTGACCTTCATAATTATTCATCCTTCTTATGGTATGGATTTTGCCATTCCTTGGGTCTGATTCTAAGCTCACTTGCTGAAGCTTAAGCCAGAAGGGGTTCAAAAGATTTTCACAGAGTTTAAAAAAAAAAATCATGTTAAGTTTTTTATAGCAATGTTTACCCTGTCAGCCATCCATTGGAACAAGAAATATGTCTGTCTACTCAGAAAGATGTTCCCTGTTCTTGGATGAATCCCCAGATCCAGTTTCTCCAGCTGGTGCCTGTCTGGTGCTTTATTCCCTCTGACCACTGGATTTCCAGGAAGCTATTTTTTATTGTCCTTTTGCTCAGCCTTGTAAGTTTTTAAGTTGAAAACACTGGCTTTGGGTCTTCAAAGTGGTGAGAAAACAGAGGGTTAGCTTTGCAGACAAGTGCTGTGTCACTGTCCTTGGGTGGGAAGACTCCATAAAGAAACTCAGTTCTGATCCACACGAGTTCTCTTATGCAACATTATCTCATGTACCAGAGAGATTTAAAGGAAAATGAGGATAGAAGTTTCAGCATCACACATAAAATAAAACATAGCCAAGGAATGAAAAGCCCCATGTTCTTTGCAATGTGAGCAATACCAACAAGCACACAGAATTTAAATTCTGTGAAGTCTGAGGTACCACACTAAGCCAGAGAACAAGGTGAGGGTTAGCTAAGCTTGTTCTAAGGGTTAAATCAGTGCTGCTTATCAGGTCAATGGCAAATCTTCACAAATAAAGGGGAATCCTTAGCAAAGGTAAAAGAACTTAATCTGGGAAAAAAACCCCAAAAACTCAAGGGATGCTCAACATGCTGCACCTAACAATTTTAGTCTGACTTGGAGCCAAAGCCAAAGTACAGCTGGAACATAAAGTTATGTATTTGGAAACTCATTGGAGCTGATGAATGGCCACACACAGAACCCCCTCAACAGCAGCAGCCCAGTCTCCAAGGGCTCCAACACGATGGATTTATAGACTGTTCCATTTTGTGCCCTCCACTGGATCATCAGTCCTTGGCTCTCCATCCTCTTCATCTTGTTCACCATTCACTTGCTTTAACATTGTAATTTGGCCTTCCAGTTCTCACCAGCTCTCTTGGGCTTAATATTATGGAATGTAAAAGCTTTCTACTGACACAACTTCCATTTTCTTTCTCTCTGCTCTCTCAGGACTGTCAGCAGTCTTTTTAACTTGGTGCTTATTTCAGCTGGGAAGTCGACATTTCCTTTAGGTCCAAAGTTTTTAAGTATTCCATCCTTCCTCCAATAAATGTAGCAGGTACCAATGTTTCTAGAAAGATTATGTTTGGTGACAGACTCTCTCATCTCTCTTTAACCTAATAGTTCATTTTCCAGAAAAAGAAACCATAATTACTCCAAGAGCAATTTATTTAATTACTGTTATGGAAGACTTCAAAGGAAATTGGTTGAATTGAAATAGTGATATCACCCTGGCAACATTTTGAAAAGAACATTTTGGTAGAAAACATGCTGAATGTAAGGGCATGTTTAATGTAGAGAAAAAAGTGCCTAATCCTCTTCTGGTGAATGGAGCTTTCAGTATTTTTATGTGTATATTCGTACATGTATGGCAATTTTTTAATTATTGGTTTTTGGATTTATTTCACTTTGATAAATGTATTTTTTTTCCCCTCTACTTGCCTCATATTAAGGTTATTTAATGAAAAAATTAAACTCAATCTAACAGTCCTACCAAATGTTATGTTTTCCTCTTTCTTTTCCCCAAACTCATTTTTAAGGGCACTTCAGAGATTTTCATTAATGAGAAAATTGTTATTGATGTGGAAGGTGAAGCTTTACCTGCCTGGACACAGGTTCATTCGCACTCCAGTACTTTTAGATTGTCCTGTTGATTAAAGAAGACGCTTCTGGTGCAAGATGCAGAATTGAGGTTGGTGTTCCAGGACATGCAGACACACCCCACCAGACCTGATTATTGCACTCTTAAGGCCAGGACTTGCCCTTGGCACCATAGTAAGGGTGGCAAAAGATATTTATAGCCTCAAAACCCCTAATGCATTTCCAAAATGCATCTAATAAAGTTGATTCATTCATTCAGCTACAAATATCACTAATTTAATTTTCAAAATGCCCATTTTTGGCCAACTTCCCACAACAAATGTCTGTGAAATATCAGTTCAAGTTATTTAAAATTTGCCTTTTCTGCATGATAACAATGACACCAGACACCATCCCAGCTGTAGCAAGGCACTGGTTCATGTTACAGGAACAGAAATGAAGTGTTTTGTCACCATCATCTGTAATTACAGGTCAGAAATAGTTCCAAGCCAGGTCTGGGATGTGTTTGTGGTTCATGTTATCATTTAGAAAGATGTGATGAACAGGTTCAAATCAAAATGAGCTATGCTCATGAAAAATATGCTGAATCATTTGCCTTTTTTTTTTTAGTGGATCAATTGAATGAAAAACAAATTTAAATTGCAAGCTGACACCAGCCTGTCTTTTTGTGCTATTTTTTGTGTCTTTTTTGTGCTATCATTGCATTTATTTGTATGCTTAGTATCTCTTTGCATCATCATAGCACCTGTTGCTGGATTTTTGGGGTTTGCAATATAAAATTGAAAATTATGCCTTAGTCCTTACAGCCCTTGAGCCCTAAAAATCCATATAAATCCTCTGATTTGTGCTCAAAGCACATCAGGAAGCCATAAAGGAAGTTATTTTAATGAAAGTGGTGTTTTCTTTGTGTTTGTGTACTTGGGGGTTTTTAGGTTAAATGGAAATATTCTATGGTGACTAATTGCAGCAAGGCATCTCAGAAAAGACTCATGCAAATATTGTTTTAATTAGAATCTTGTGATTTAATAGGTTGCAACTAATAATAATAGAAATGTGAAGATTTGGTCTTTTCAGGTGTAGCCTCCCATTAGGAATTTAAACAGTGATGGTCTCCTTTATTAGTGCCACTGAAGCTGATTTAAGAATGTTTGAATATTCTAGGGTTGTTCTCTCACTTTTGAGCCAAAATTGGTCTCCTCACAGACAATCTTTGCCTAGGCAAAAATTAATTATTGATTCAGTTTTTCATTCAGAAATCTCAAAGTGGCTTTTATGCTCTTTATGGAAGAAATTTGCACTAAACTGGAGCAGTTAAGCGAGCTATCGAAAAAAGAACCTTCCATGGGCATGGCTGAAGGATCTGAGCTCTTCCTTCTGCAGTTCCAAGAAAGCTGGGGAAAGGAGGCAGCTTTTGACTGGTAATTTTGCTCTCACCTTTCTCTCTTTTGTGAAGGGTGACTCTCAGTAATTCCCTAACTTGTCAAGTTTTATAAAGATAAATGTTCCAGGGGCTGCAGTGTGAACCTCTCTAAGTGAGTCATGATGTGAAAGTCTTTCATCAGGAGCGTTCCTGCTAGAGGGAGACCAAACTGAGGGGGACATGGAGATTGAGGAGTCCAGTAGGATTAAATTCAAAGTGGAAGAATGTTTTGTAGAGGAACACACTGACCACACAAAGACCACCCAGGATGCTTTAGCAGTCTGGATTTGGGCAGCACTGCTGAAGCTGCCTCTGGAAATGAACCTGTAAGTGCAGAACCACAGACTGAATTTAGATTTCTGCTTGTGTGGGGGCTGCCAGCTCTTCAGCAGGAGGTTATGGATCTGAGCAGAAATGGATTGCTGGCTGGAATTCTGTCTGCCTTGGTTTGGGAGCTCAATAGACCTGCCTGCAATCATTAGCTTTTTGATAGGTTTTCACTCTTTAATCTTGACTGTCTGTCTCATTTCTGGCACAAACCAAAGAGACCATCAGTCACAGCACAAGTGTTATTCAGATATTCATACATATCAATTCTTAGGGGAAAAAATATTTAGGGTTGGCTTAGCATGTAATTACAGCGTTAGTAGTTGCAAGTAAGTTGGCTTTGGTTGTCATTTGTGTCCTCCTCAGGGTGTCACTGAGAGCCACTCACATAATAACAACGACTGAGACTAGCATGGGCTGGGCTGCAGCTTTGCTGGCCTTGGAGCATCCAGGGAATTATGAGAATTCCAGTTTGTCTGAAAAGCACAAGAACACAATTACTATTTAAAATAAACTCTACCAAGAGCTTAGACATTACTTGGAATGACTCTATCAATCACCATGTTCTTTAATAAGACTACCTTTCTTGTGCTGGTTGTTTTCTTGTAGAGTTTATGCTTAAAACCAGACAGCCTCTGTCACATTTATCTTAAGTGGATCTCCCCAGGGCAGCAAGTAAATGTAAAACTCTGTTTACAGCCATTTTTCCTTTCCCAAGCCTTTTAATATCACTCTCTCAGGCTTATTTCTGTGTCATTCACTCCATAATGTACTAAGTTGTCTTCCTGCTTTCCCCTGCTTTATATGAGGTACAGTGAGCAGCAATCTCACCCTCACGAGCACAAATTAAATCAAAGCTTGGGGAAAATGCCATACTTCCATGATGAATCCAGAGGTGGATGCTGACAGATAGCACATCACACTGTTCAGGGGGTTATTCCTCTTCCCTGCACAATGACTTCTGTTTTCAAAGGGCCATCATTTTCTGGCTTTGTCTATGGTTTTGTAACGCTGAGTCTCAAAGCTGCTACAGGAAAATGTGGCTACATTTCAAAAACTCTTCTTTGGAGCAGCTGGGGATTATTGGCTTTAAACATCTCAGTAATCCAATACAGTGCTATAAAACATAATTTAAAAATGCAAAGGATTAAGATTTCCTTTCATGGGATTCTACAGAACTCAGAATAGGATTCCACAAAACTTGCTTAGCATTTTTGAAGCAACTTCTATTGTCAAGATGAAAATCACCAGTTCTGTAAATATTTCACTTCTGCATTTAGTACATACAAATCTTGTCATGACCTAGAATTCCTCTGTGGTAGGATACCTCTAGAATCTTGTCTGTTTGCTAACCAAATATAAAGTTATATATAAGTTACATAAATACTTATCTCTGCAAAACTGCAGCCTCAAATTCTAATCCTTTACATTGCAGTGTAAAGTGCTCCCTTGCAAAACACAGGACATGAACTGGGGGAGTGTGAGGTTCTTATTATTCAGTGCAATAACTAAGAGAATTTTTTTCCCCCAAGTATCTTTAAATATGAAGAATTTCCCTTTCTGGACTAAACACTTTTGTCTCATAAGACTAATTATGTTCTGTGAATGGCACAGAAAACTTTATACCAATTTGCATTCAGATGAAGATTGTTTGCTGTTCTCTCCAGTGAGGACTGGAATGTGCTCCAGCAAGAGGGACCCAGAGCTGCAGAGGGGCTCACAGGGAGTTACTGGCTGCCAGTCTGCTTTGGAATCACACACTGGGAAAACTGAGATTTACCAGCTACATACACAGCAGGAATGTATAGAGATCCAAGCTCATGTCATCTAAACAAAACATTTTACATGAGACCAGTGCACACTGGCCTTTATTAAAAAATTCCAGGATGGTTTGGGCTGGACGGGACCTCAAAGCCCATCCATCCCCACCACTGTCCCAGGCTGCTCCAGCCCCAGTGTCCAACCTGGCCTTGGGCACTGCCAGGGATCCAGGGGCAGCCCCAGCTGCTCTGGGCACCCTGTGCCAGGGCCTGCCCACCCTGCCAGGGAACATTTTTTTCTCCCTAATATCTTTTCTAAACCTTCTCTCTATCAGTTGTCCTGTCATTCCACTCCTTGTGCCTGATTCCCATTAAACACAGTTAGGCATGACCAGATTCTGGGTTTGCTCACAGGCATGGAGTCAGTTTGATGCAGAGGAAGTCCTTCAGTTTTTAATTCTCCTATTTCACATGGGATGAGTGAGACCTATGGCACTGAGAGAGGGAAATGTGCCGGTGCCGTGTCCCCGTGATGCCCTGGGAGAAGGGGTTCATTTGAGGAAGCAAAACTCCATCTCTGATCATCATCTCATCATCTGGGATGATTTCCTGACTGGAAATACACAGGAAGCCCAAAACTGCTGGGGCACAGCTGAAAGCTGATGTTGTGTCATCTCCCAGTTCAGCTGTTCTTCTAAAGGAGGCCTTGCAAATTTTAACACACCAGTGTCGCACTTCCCTTTCTGCCTAAGGGTAAATTCAGCCTGGCCTCTAGTTCCAGAGGAAAAATGTAATAATCCAAATTTGAGTCTTGTCCAAATTTAGCACACCTAGAATTTAAAATTTCAGCCATTTTCAGGACTAAAGGGTTTATTTGAAGAACTGGCTTTGCCATATGTGTCATGCAACTAAATGTGCTGCAAAGCAGTTCTTGATATCATAATATTCTTTTGTATAAATAAAATGAGAGGCCCTCTTTAGCACAAGTTTGTCATGAAGTCCAAGCTGAAAAACTGTTTTGGTCTGATAATGCATAACAGTTTAAAATCAAAAAGTAACTGAGAGAATTAAGTTAAATGTGCAAGTTACTGATTCTTGTTTTCACTTGTTCCATAAATAATAAGGAAAAGGCTATCAATTTACTTTTTTACATAATTTTCTTGAAATGACTCAAGGAAGAGAACAACATTTTGTTAAAGAGGAAAAAAATCAAATTAAATGTTAAATGTGGGAGACCAGCAGGTTAGGGCTGAGTAGCTTTCTGCAACAAGAAATTTGTATCCTTCAAAAATCTTTTCTGATTAATGTACACCCAATTTCTTGAAAATTGGTAGGCATCAGGGGTTTGCATGGAGCAATCTGCAGGAGGATAAAGATCTATGGCAGACTGAACTCCTCCCACACTCATCCATGCACAGGAGGAATGAAATCCTTGTGCACAGGACTCTTCCACATCCCTCACCTCATGTGTTTTAGTAAAAACTCCCAAAGCAGTTATGTTTGTGATATGTCCTAAAGATTTACTAGTGGGACTCGATTGATTATTGGATCTGGAGATTTGTTCCCCACTTGCTTTTCATGAGA